CGAATATTTCTTTTGTTAGGGCCTTAAAGGAAACCTCCCTAATTCTATAATTGCTGTTTTTACTCTAAATGGAGGACACTGTAATGTCTGAAAACAAAACAAACCTTAAAAAACTAGCCGAAAGATCAGAAATCTCCAGGGGGGGAAAACGCACAGCTCGTTGAGTGGAATGAATCTAGTTCATGACGAAAAGAAGTCATGGTGGTTTTCACAGACTGATGACGAACGTCAGGCTTGTCCCTCCCTGGGCAGCAGCCTTCTTGCTTTCTGCCTTACTTCCTCTTTCTCCTAGATCCCAGGAAGCCCAGCGAAGCTGGCTTCACCTCGGTAGGTAACACATTTGGGGAATACCAGCTGAAGGCCCTGCTCACAAGGTCCCCCTCCCACACCCTGAGCCCAGTGCCTGGAGGGCGGGGTGGTGGGAGGTGAGGGGGCAGGGAGGGGGCACCAGGGAGAAACCCAGTCAACCTTGAGATCCTTCGGCTGTTTCCCAGGGTCCCGGTTTCCCAGGGTCCCAGGCATGTACCCATCTGCCACCGGGGTGACCTGGAAAGTGCCTCTGCTGTGGCTACAAGCAAACAAAGCCCTGAAATATTTCCAGAAAATTAGATTATGAGGGAAATTAAACCTAGTAAATGGCTGGTTTTAGTTCTCCAGTGTTCACTGCAATTTCAGAACATCCCCGCAAATGATTGAGCCTTTAAGGGAATTCGAGTGACCCTGCAGGAAGCTGCCAACGGCTTGTGAAGAATTTTAACGTTCCAGGCTTTGTGACAAGGAGAATCATCTGCCCGTAGTCATCGTTGGTCGTCAGAGATTTCATGGGGGAAAGATAACCTTTTCTGAAGACCCTGCTGCCAGCACACTTTGCCCCTCAGGCCTTATCCTCTCATTTGACAGGAATAGGCTGTAGCCCCAGGCCACCTTCTTAAGGGAATCTAAGCACAAGAGGCAGGCAGGACAGAGAAGTCCAGTGGGGTCCTACAGGTGAAGGAACTTTGTGGGCAGGGTTAGGACAGAAACTTGGGTAGTGAGGCACCCAGAAACTAGCAAGACCAGGAAATGATTGCCACCCTCAGGCAGAAGGGGTCGAGTGGGTGCAGCCCACGGAGCCGTAAGCTGGGGGCCAGAAGCCACCCATCACAGGAGCTGGAGAGAAGGAGGGAATGAACTGTCCCTAGGAGCCAGGAGAGAACTACCCTGCCTCGCTCCTTCTTCCCTGGCTCATCTATTGTGCTGCCTATTGGTTGAATCAAAACAAAAGGCCAGGTTGTAAGGGACTGGGAAACGCCAACATGAAGATCAGCCTTCTGTGGCACCATACAGGGTCAGTTCAGAGACAGGGGGAAGCCAGGGGCTGCTGGAGAATTCCAGGCACAGTGTCTCCTAGCCCACTCTTTTTATTTCTGCATATTCACTTAGAGTTGTTGTTAGATGCCATTGCTTCCGCCCCAGTTCTACATCATCCTATCAGCAGTGGCAGATGGGACCGTGGTGGGCCATAGGGTTTCCAGTGGCTGGTTTTCACAGGTAGATTGCCAGGTCTTTTCTTCCTAGTCTGACTTAGACCAGAATCGCCACTGAAACCTATTCGGCGTCAAAGCAAGACGCAACCCTCCAGGGGCGAGAGATGAAGTGCACTGGTTGGGAAGCAAACTTAGGTCTCCAGATGGAGAGGGAGAAGTCTGCACCACCACTCCCTTCCAGACAATTAACCTTGGCTTCATGAGTCTCTAGACTCTTTTCTTTTATTTCAAAAATAAGAATGACATATAGTGGACCTAACATCTGGTCAGTTCTTCTCTCTTGGGTGCACAGATGTTTGGGTGAAATAATATTTATTATTATTATTATACAAGCTGCTGTATTGACTCATCAAGGTTGCCATAGCAGTTTGCATAGGTAGCTCCCACGGCCAGGTGCAAGGAGAAATGAGCAACACTACAGCTGACACGGAAAACAGCGGGTTACCTGAGGGATAAGGTGGAGCAGCGCATCCCCAGAGAGTGTCCCAACCGCCAAGCCCACAAAGAGCTGTAAAATGAGCCTGTAGTTCTCCTCACAGCTGTTGAAAAGGATCAGCATGGTCCCCAGCATGGAGCCCAGTGTGATGAGGGTCACCGCCACAGTGCTGTAGCCATACTCTAAGTCAAAGGGAGATTACAAAAACCATTAGTGCTCCTCAGCCTCCACCAGTGCCCCAACTCGTAAAGCTGTCAGATGAAGCTGCCTGGCGGTAGCAACGGATACCAGCTGCCCGGGAGTTGATCCTGACTCACCAGTGGCCCCGTGTGTGTAGAGGAGGCTCACACTCCCCGGGATTCCCACGGCCATGGCCCTTCAAAAGCTGATCTCCCGGACTTCCTTTTAAGAAGTTACTGGCTGGGTTTGAACCACAAACCTTTCAGTGAGTAGACAAGTCTACATAACCATTTGTCCCACCCAAGGGGACTCATAACAGCTAATAAGGATATAGGATTATTTTTCAAAGTTTTATATTTGGCAGTTTATTTTATTTTATTCTTAATTTTTATGAAAAAGAATGGACACATCTTCATCACATGGCCTATGTGGCTTTGAAGCTACTCTAACTCTTAACTGAACATCACAGTGGCAAGCACAGAGTGCAAAAGAACCCCGGGTTATCCGTCCCTCTATCCCCCCCTCCCCACCACCCCTGATAAAGTCAGATTTCTCTCATTCTTGACTGAAAGATGTATTGACATATACACATTGGTAGTAATTTCCATATCATCACGTTTAAATATTTTGAAGGCAAGAAAGCTCTCTCTGAGGGAGCAAGCAGAATGTTTGGGCCCGTCCTAAACCCACATCCTTGCACAAGTAAGTGGACAGTGGTCTCCCAAGAGTTCTTAAAATGAATTGTCATGTCAGAAGCGTGTGGGATCTTCAATGAACAGCCGTATTGCTGAGAACTGATCAGTGAATGCACAGTAGTGGACAGTAGAATCTGAACAGTCTACATTTGGAATTGTTGGAATACTTTTTTAATATAACTGAGAACTTAGTCTATGTTTTTAGGCCTTGAAAATATTTGGAAGGTATCCTTTTAAAAGGTTGTTCAAAACTAAAACGCGTCGCCGGGACGAGAAGATACGGAAAGGAGCAAAGAGGAGGGAGAGAAGCAACAGCTCCGAGAGTTAAGTAGAAGTGCGTGTTGATGCTGGTTGCAAAAATCAAAGCACGTATTGATCAGTCCCCTTCAGTTGTACAATTGATACACACACGAGAACAGATAAACTGTTTCCCACTTATGTGAACATCGTTAATGAAGCTGTTAGGAGGAAGATGTCTTAGTAACAGGGGACATCCTGGAGGCCAGTCAATTCTTACTCATGATGACCTGACCCGTGGAGAAACCATTACCTCACAGAATCTCAAGGTGATGGCCTTGTGGAAGCAAAGCACCAGGCTTTTCTTCCAAGGAATCTCCTGGTGGGTCCAGACCTCTGACTCTTTGGAGCTCACTGTCATTTCCCTTCAATTGTATCAATCAGAGCAGACACCCTGTGTTTTACTCATTTGAACATCACTAAAGTAGTGCAAAACTGGTTTGCTTCATGAAGGGAGATCCCGTACACGCTTGTGTATAAGCCGAGTTTTCCAGCACATGTTTAATGCAGTTTTAGTGATAAAATTAGGAGCCTTGGCTGATATTCGGATTGGCTTACACTTGAGTATATAGTAATAGCAAAATTATGCTATTATTCCTTTTTGTGACTACAGATAAATAAGAGGTTCAATTTGTTAAAATCAGCTGTCATTATATTTTTACCATTTAAAAAATCATTTTATTGGGGGCTCGTACAGCTCTTATCACAATCCATTA